ACAACTCCCTAGTCTCTGCCTCTTCCCTAAACTTCTTTGTCTTATATTTGAGTAAATACAGCAATTACTATTTGTAGTACAGTAACACCTAAGAGAGAGCCATAGATCCCAGTGTGGCAAAACCATGACAAAAATATGGTCCCTCACTGATGAGTCTTTTATGGAACTCAAAGAACCTCTGCCTTAGGAAGGGAGAAAACTGAAGACCATTTTAGACAGGTAACTGAGAACAGGTGTTTACTGTAAGCAGTTGGAGATTTAAGAGCTTTTCTCTGTACACAGTTGGAGGTGTCTTTTAGACATTTATAGTACCCTTGGCCTCTGTCTTCTACTTTAGAATCATAGGAAAAGTAGGGATGGAAGGGTCCTCAGGAGGTCGTCTTGTCCAGCTCCTTACTTAAGGTAGGATCATCTTTGACTAAATCATCTCGGTCAAGAGCTTTTTTCTGTCTGCCCTTAAAAATTTCCAGGGGTAGAGACTCCGCAGATTCTCTGGGTAGCCTGTTCCAGTGCTTAACCACTATAGAAAGCCATCCCAAAGTAAATTTATCCTGCTTTAATTTGAGATTTTGCTCCTAAGTCCTTGTCCCCTGTTGCTGCAAAGATGTCTTTCCCCATCCTCTTTATAATCTCCCTTCAGGTATTTAAAGACTGTTATCAAATACCCATCTCTGTCTTCTCTAGACTAAATAGTCCTAGTTCCTTCAACCTTTCCTTATACGTTCTTGCACATCCCAGACCTCAAGCAATTGTTTTTGCTCTCTGCTAGACTCTTTCTAATATGTCCATATCTTTCTGCAAGTGCAACGTCCAGAGCTGGACACAGTAGTCCAGGTGAGACCTCACCAATGCCAAATAGGGTGGAAGGATCACTTCCCTTGATTTGAAGGTGACAGTCTTGTTAATACAACCCAATATGCTATTGGGCTTTCATGACTCGTATTCATCTTATTGTCCACTGTAATTTCCAGCTCCTTTTCTGCACTACCTGTAGCCTAACTAATCATTCCCCAGTCTGTATGTGTGTGTGCAATTGTTCAATCCTAAATGCAGCACTTTATACTTGTCTTTGTTGCATATCATTCAGTTGATTTCAGACTACTTCAACAGTTTATCAAGGTCATTCTGGATCCTCGCCTTACTTGTCAGTGCCTGCAATCAACTTGCTATCATCTGAAAATTTGCTAATCAATCCTATCACTCAAATCATTAATGAAAACATTAAACAGTACTAGGCTCAGGACAGACCCCTAGGGAGCCCCATTTGATACCCCCTCCCAATTAGACATTGAATCATTAATGATTAATCTTGAGGACAGTGATCCAAGCAGTTATGGATCCACCTTACACCTTCATCTAGCCTGTATTTTTTTAGCTTATTAATAAGAATGTCTGGAGAGACATTGTCAGAAGTCTTGCTAAAATCAAGGTATATCACATCTGCTGGTGTGTCCCCCCCCAATGCATGGAGCCTGTCCCCTGTCATAGAACGAAATCAGGTTGGTCAAGAATGATTCGTTCTTGATGAATCCATACTGGCTGTGTATTCTCAAGTGTGACCTCCTAGTTTAACTGTTTCCCAGAACAGGGCTAGCAGTGAAAGCATGACCTCACTGAATCCAATAGGACTTTTGTAATGGACTTTAGTGGAGCCAAATTTTCACCCTAGATTTGCACAGAGGCAGCATCTGTAGCCTTTTGAGGGACATGTGCCTCTGTTGGTGGTGGTCACATTAGTCTGAACAGGACCCTTACTTACACAGGTCACTTTCACAAATGAATGTTTCTTAATTTATAGCTGAATTATACAGTACTTATACTGAGGTTCATTTATTTTAGCTTCACATTAAATTATATGTCTTTCTGCACAACAGATACCAGTATAATTGAAGCTACCCCCATTTAGGTTCTCAGCCAGACTATAGAAATAGTGAAGTCAATTTTCCATATAGATTATACTAATAAAAACAACTGAATGAGTGCCAGCTTATACATAGTAATTAAAAATTTTACAAAGTAACTCTCAAACTCTGCTGGGAGTAAAATGAAAATGAATTAAAATGATGGTGACAAATATTTTTTTAAAGCTGACATTAACTTAAATTCATTTTAAGTAACTTGTTACTTATAGTTGCCTAGTTCTATTTTCTGAACACAGGCAATATGGAGCAGCCATACTCCTTTAAACTCAGTAAAATACACGATTAAGAAGTTCCCAAAGAGAACTAAAGCATCATGTTTATAGATAAGTAGGCATGGGGATACCAAAGCAATTTCTAAAACCTAAGCAGTTTCTGGACACTGCAACCTTTGATGCCATTTTTAGGTTCTTCTCTTAATCCATCCTTTAGTCCTGTTCTTTTCTGTAAGTTTTCTATTTTTGTCATTTTTGCCCTATTTCCCCCTTAAGTAGCTTGTCTCTCTCTAGTTTGTGTTTTCTGTCTTTCATTTCATGTTTTTTAATCCATTTCCATACCATCTGCCTGGCTTCCTTTATTTAAACTTTTTCTCCCTCTCTTTGTCCTCCTTTAGAGCTCTCTTATTCCTTCCTCCATCAAGCGATACTATATCTTTCAAAATATTTTCCTGGCTTCTGCTTCTCTCCTCAAAGCCAATACAAGTGCTGAGGTCAGGAATGGAGTAGTTCCTTCCAATAGGGTTCTCTAGTAGTGTTCCTGGTTTACACAGGAGCCTGGATAGAGCAGGTAACACTTTGCTTAGCAGAGTCCAGAGAACAATACTAGAGGTAGTACAGTATTAAGAGCTTACTTGTGGAAATGTAACAGTTCTGCACCCTGTGTGTGGCAATGGCATTGGCTCACAGGGGGGCAGCAGCTGGGCTGGGGGCAGCAGACAGCTGTGGTCACTTCTAGTTTTGTGCTCTCCCTGCAAGTACATCAGTACCCAGGGCTGCTGCCAACACCGCCTCCTCCCTTGTCCTCTCCCCCCCAGTTGTGCTACTGATTACTAGGGCTGTGCAAAGCTTCAGTCCCTGATTCAATTTG